TCTCTCTCTCTCTCTCTCTCTCTCTCTCTCTCTCTCTCTCTCTCTCTCTCTCTCTCTCTCTCTCTCTCTCTCTCTCTGTCTGTGTGTGTGTGTGTACATAGGTTTCTTTTCTCAGTGTGCCTTTCTGTCTTCACACACACACACACACACACACACAGACACACACTCCTTGTGAAGCTCTCTCTCCCAAACGACGTTCTTTCATAGTTGTTATTAATCAGCAGCAAGGATAAAGCAGTCTTAAATTGGGTAAATAGTAAATAGTAAATAGTAAATAGTTAATACTAAATAGTAAATAGTAAATACTGACAAGACAAGATCTGGCCGCTCATTTTGGGGGTTTGCGAGTTTTGAAGGCCTAGTGTGAGTGTGCCCTAAGCAGACTTACTTTAGTGAGCTCAGCGTAATCTGATCCACTGAACGGATTAAGGAGATTCCCACTGTCCCACTGTCCCACTGTCCCTAACTACCATCCTGCGAAACCACAGCCAAGGAATAGGGGTTTGGAACAATCGGCGGGGAAAGAAGATGATGTTAAGCTTGCTTGGCTCTAGTTTGATGCCGTGAAACAACTTGAGAGGTGTAGAATAAGTGGGAGCTTTACGGCGCAAGGGAAGTAAGGTTCAAATACCCCTGCTTTTTTAAAAGTTATTATTATTATTATTATTACAAAAAAAAAACTGGCAAGTCGCCACAAATAGATATAAGGGAAACCCAAAAGCTAAAATTAGAGGTACTGTGAGCTCTGAGCTGATGGCCCCCTCTAGTAGACAGCCGAGGATTTCCCTCAAAAAAAAAAAATAATAATAATTATAAAAAAAAATGGTGCGCTCTGACTAATGGGTGGGCACTATTTCGCACGGTTCGGAGAGCACTTTGCTATAAATGGAGGGGAGAAGTGGATCAAAAGATACAATGATACATCGACGAATTTAACCGCCAAAAAGGTACAGTGACAGATGGTTAAAACAAGAAAGTGAAGTTGGAAAAAAAGAAGACAACAACCTATTCCTTCTTTTGTAAGCTAATGCAACAGAAACGAGCTGAGTGAAAACAATAGTGACCTTTTTTTTTTTTTTTTATAACAAAAAACAAGCTCCATCTATTGGTGGGGAGCAGCACCTGCTGGAAACCGGGTCCAGCGTCCGATAGATACAACCATATCTTTGCAAGGAACCTGACTGTTCACACTTGCTGGAGTGTACCATTTCACATGCACAAATGTCATCACACAGATTGAGTAGCTTCACACAAAGCCAAGTCGAGATGAGATGAGAACCAGATAGTGCAGCTTATATTATCAAAACCCGCATTATACAAGATTATCTCGAGCTCAAGAGTTCAGCGCCCACAGAATACAGGTCTCTCCCTTGTTCAGTCATACACACAGGGCCTGGCTCAGCCAGCATCTGCCCCAGATCATGAGTACGGCGGCAACAGGTAAGTATCCACCATATCCAATGTCAAACCTGTCTTCTTTCTCTTCCCCTTCTCTCCCAAGATCCCTGTCCTGGTTCCCTTGTCTCACCATGCATGCACACCCCCTGTCTACGAGGATCTACTCTGAATGCAACTCGCTGATATCCCACTATTAATCCTTCTACTACTACTCCTAACACAAACTGCCGCAGCTATGGCTTCCCTGCAGCCAGCGCCCAGCCCTCCTTCCTTCTGGCGCAGCTCTCTCTCAGCCAGCGCTTCTCCCTGCACTATAGCGCACAAGTGCCTCAGCACTTCCACGCATCAATGCCAAATGGGAACCTGCCTTGTGGGGAGGCTGCCTTGTTCTTTATAGTGCTGGCCTCCCCTTGCGAGGTCTGAATTCAGTCTGTCTTGGGTCCTTTCCCAGTCCCAGCCTCTGTGGAGTGTGTCCCAGACCCTTATCCTCAGGGGTCACTGCTGCTGCGGCCTTCAGGCCTTAATTTCGGACTTTTAGTCTGTATCTAGACTCTCCTTTTGACTTGAATCTTGACTGGGACTTTATCTCTTTGACTTCTTTTGAAAAGGCACACCTACTGCTCGAGCAGACACACTTACTGCACGAACAGACACACTTACTGCACGAACAGACACATCTCTTGTACGAACAGATATAACCTGCACACCCCCTGGATGAACAGATGTGACTCCCACAATTGAATACTGCATCTGTTCGTCCAGGGGCACAACTGTGACCTTCGACATTGTCTTTTTACTTTAGTTAGGATGTGACTTTTGCCCCAGAGAACATGTCTCTTGATCTGCTTTTCACGAGCTGGGCTTTGGGCGAGTGACCCCACTATGCTGCATTCGTCAGGCAGGGTCTGAATCGGGTAAAGGCCCTTTTATCTTCACAAATTGAAAAACAATAGTGACCTATTTCACCAGATCTGTTTGTCCTTAGTACAGCGCCTATGCGGATGTGCGAAATATAAATAATAAATATTAAATAATAAATATACATACATTTAATACAATTATGTGGATATATTATCGAGCACCCGCCTGCAAGGTTGCTGAAAAAGAGAAAAGGCAAAGACCCGATGGACCCGAACTTTCAGCGTCTTAGCTATGTGCAATACACGGATGGTGGCTTTCAGATTAGGCATTACTGGTCCGAAGACTGACGGCATTGAGATGCATGAACTAGTATCGACTTTCCAAGCGCATTCAGACAACAGCTCAAGTAAAAACTGAAGCCCTCACAGATTGTGTCACTAAGAGATCATACATGATTGGGAGGTGATTGTTAGATAGCCCATAAGTACTTTTTGAGTCTTCTTCATCACAAGTTTTCCCTTTTTTTTTCTTTTTTTTTTTTACTTTGGGAACTTGGTGTAACTTATTGGAACTAACGACTTCAAACAATAACCAGTAGGAACATAATTTTTTTATTTTTTTTTTGTGCTCTATTTTCTTATAAACGGCAACTTGTCAGAAATTTGTCCAACTCGGTAGGTAGTGTGAGGTGAAATTGAGAGAAGAATATAGCTTTAAAAAAAAAAGAAAACGAAAAAAAAAAAAAATCCCAACTGAGGAACTCGTCCCGCTCTGGGGAGGGAAAAAAAAAAAACAAAAAAAAAAACTCTCACGGCACTCTGCTTCATCACAGCACGCAGAGGGCCTATGACAACTATTATTAGCAAGCGCTTGGCGCTACTAAAGACACAAGAGGGTCTGTGCAATACGCATTCCCTCAAAGCATTCGCTGAACGTGGACAAACATATCCGTTGGGGTCCAACCTCATGGCCCGTTTTAAAACTCCTCACAGCTACCGCACAGTCTGAAGATCCCAATAGAGACAGTCTGAAGATCCCAACAGACACAGTCTGAAGATCCCAACGGGGACAGTCGGAAGATTCCAACAGGCCTAGGTGGTAGAATGCAATGGCGGAGAGACAAACTACCCGGAAAAGTTCAGTCTATAGTTAGTTAAGTAACCGACCGGAGAGCATCAAGCAGCAAGGCACCACTACTGCTACTACTAACCACCTCATAGCCGCACAATCTGAAGACGAGAGCAGGGTCGGCGATACAGGCATATAGGTAGGAAGGTGCCTACCTTCTTCCCCCGAATACAACGTAAGGTCATTATAGCTGTATTTTTGGTATCTTTCAGTCTAAATACAGCTATAATGACTGTACGTTGTATTCGGGGGAAGAAGGTAGGAAATGGTCGCATGCGCGCAAGAGAGAGAGAGAGAGAGAGAGAGAGAGAGAGAGAGAGAGAGAGAGAAACTATGGAGAAAATTTCAGTGCATAAAAGTTAGAAAGATGAAAGGAAAAAAATTGTTTCTTAAACGTCTGAGTTGGGTGCCCAAACAAGCAGCAGGGCACTACCCTTTTATACTCCGCCAAATCCTTTGGAACCTAGGCTACCAGAGTGGCGCGGGACCACTTGCCCGGCCGGGCCAAAAAGGATTAAAATAAATAAAAATAAAATTTTATTTTTCAATTTTTATTTTTATTTTTAAATTGGTACAGAATTTCGATATGACCCTGAGGCAAAAGTTGGTCTGTTTATTTTTCTGCATAACATAGTTTTTTTTCGGATTTTTTGGGATTGTTTTTTTTTTTTTTTTTTTTGCTGGGACCATCCGCACGGGCAACACAAGGTGACCCGGGCGGCCCGGCTGGTAGCCTAGTTTGGAACCAATTTAATTTTTAAACCAATTCAAACCACCAGTACACCCTGCACGCCAAAATTTGCCGAGTCAGCCAGACAACTTTTGGCTGAGGGTCACCTCAAACTTTCTTACTGTGAGGTCCTGGCTGTTTTCTTTTTTTTTTATTTTTTTATCTTCGATTCACAGTAATAAAGTTTGAGGTGACCCTCGGCCAACAGTTGTGGTGAAGAAGAAGAAGAAGAAGAAGAAGAAGAAGTCCGGCTTCATTCATTAGTTTCCTTCTTCCAGCTTGTCTGTTTATTTTATAGTATTTCCAATTTCCCACACAATGCAACCTATTTGAGGACAGGAAGGCATGCAAAAGCAAGCAACAATCACCCGTACACTTCTTGTTGTCCTTTGCCTATCTTCGCCCCCCATAACCCACCCCACTCACCCACCCACCACACCCACAAAGATGTGTTTCATTCACTAGGCATGGGAATTTATTTTGAAGAGAAGCTAAGGGAGGGATTCAATAAATAACAAAGGGACCATCACTTCACAGCGAGCAATTTTTTTCACAGAAGCCTGAAGGCAAGAAAAAAAAAAAAACAAGGTGTCAGCTGGTAAATCGTTTTGTGAAACAATTCTGGTATGTGGGATGGATATGGTCCAACGAAATCAAGGCATTCTGGCGTCAGACTGACGTCCGCCGGCAGATCATGCAAGTGCACGGCTTGACGCTTGATAGGGTCATACACCAGCTGGTGCTGAAAGGTGAGAATGGCCCGCCGGAAATCGGCTTCATACGAGTCAGGAATCTGGACGCCAGAGAACTTCAAGTGTTTGATTATCTGTCAATCACACACATGACCTCCCCCCACGTCACCCATCCACAACCCCCTTCCTCCCCCCCCCCCCCCGCCCCCCCAAAAAAAAAAAGAAAAAAAGAAAAAGAAAAACAGAAAGAACAGGGGAAAAAACAACAAATTTGAAATTTCAGACATGTAAGAATTCCAAATATGCAGACTGCAAAATAAGTATTAAAAGCGAAAAATGAGAGAGAAAACAGGTGATCCCAACATTAAGGTGTTTTACATTGTCCTTCGGCACATCCGTTAAAATTGGAACGATACGGAGAAGATTAGCATGGCCGCTGCGCAAGGATGACACGCATTATTAAAAAAAAAAAAAAAAGGTGTTTTAAAGACAAGTTATTTCGTCAACAGAAACAGAAAGGTACTGAGGTCCTCCTTCGGCCAGTTACTTAAAAAATAAATAAATAAAAAAGGCAAGACTGAACATAGCATGTTGTTTGGGAAGCCCAGGGCTGGGCCTCTGGGTTTAGAGGAGGTGGAGGCTCTACGCAAAACTCCACAGCCAGATTTAAAATCGAACGGGCCCTTTTCCCTGAAAGGCACTAAGTGTGTACTCACACTACGGCTTTCTCCACTGAATTTGGCCGCAAATAAGTTCAAAGATGCATGCAAGGAAGTTGTAGTGTGTGTATGTCGGTACTATGTCCACTGAATTTGGACACAAATAATGTCAAAGATACATTCAGGAAAGCCGTATTGTGAGGTGTGTCCGCTGCATTTGACCATAAATAATGTCAACCATACCACCAGGAAAGTCCTACCGTCTTCACCCGAATAGAACACCCGGTCATTATCGCTGCATCTGGACTGAAAGTTGGGCCAAATGCAGCTATAATGACCGGGGTTGTATTCGGGTGAAGACGGTAGTGTGAGTACCCCCTTGGAGACTCTGAAATTTCTGAAGAATCTGAACGGATGAAGCTCAGCGAACGATAGACAAAGGCATGTGCTACAGCCGTCGCCGGCTCTACGATGTCTGCATCTGTTCTTTTTTTTCTTTTTCTTTTTTCCCTTCACATATTATGCTGGAAGAAAAAGGCGACCCAGTCCTGAACATCGTAACAGTTCTTACTGCACCAGGCCACTGCCTTCGTCCCATGAATAAAACTGATCCAGGTCTGTATGTGGCCTTAAAGTTGTACAAAATGCAGTCATAATGACCGGGCGTCATGTTTAGGAGAAGATGGTAGTGAATGCACAACCTTGAAGCTGTGCCTCTCTCCCGGTTTTCCCTTTTAAACCACCCGTAACTCCGAGCCTCAGCTTTCACATACCCTTTTTGTTTTGCCCGGCACTAAAATACCGAGCCATCGAAGGCAAGGACCTAGTGGACACTGCCAGCCTCTCTTAAGACCGGTAGGACAGAGCCTTTTCCGTAGCACCGCTTTTGTTAGGTAGCTCATTTTCTTGTGAGTAGGCAGGTGGAGTGCTGGCGGATAAGGTGGGTACCCCCTGACATGTCCGTATCCACAGGGAGTTGAACCCATGACCAGTTTATTAACAGTCATATGTGTGTGTCATTTTCAGCCATAAGGGAGAGATCTCCATCTGAATAAACTGGTAAAAGTACCTAGCTAGTAACCTCCGGATGGTCTAAGGAGTGCCCAATTGGTCTGTCATGCGATGTGGTCTGGCAAAAAAAAAAAAAAAAAAAAAAACAGCTGTCCCCCGACGACAAGAAGGGGCATGAAGCGAAAGCACATTCACACAAGATGAGTACGCAGTCACAAAGTGACAACACAGCGTTAAACGAACCCACACCAGGGGATGTCCAATAGGAAAAATTAACATCATGGGGATCCCATCCCTTCTCCGCCCGACCTTCGGTCCGGCAACCCCAAGAACCACCAAGCTATCCAACAGTCAAATGGCGGCAGTCATCGTCAACGACACGCAAAGCGCACGCTGAAGACGACAGCCAAACGAGTCCGCTGTGAAAGAGGAAGAAAAGACTAAAATTAGCTCACTATATACTACTAGATGACCCGTTGCGGCTTCGCCCGCAAAGACAGAAAAGGAAAAAAAGCACAAAAGAAAGAAAGAGCATAAGGAACTCCCCTATCATATGCCGCCAAGCCTTTTTTCCCCTTTATCTTTGAGTGTTTTGTTTGGGGAGCCATTACCTTCACAGCATCGTTTTTGTTTTGTGATGTGCAAGAACTCTGCACTTTTCTGAGAAAATCCTGTCCATTGTCCCGTTGATGTTTTTGCAGCTAAAGATTCAGATTCAGACTTTGTTTGCTGCGTTCTCTGGATATGTTTGTGATCAACCCATCTTGCATGTATGCATTCCCCGTGCTTACTTGTTGAGTTTTTACGTTATGTGCGCAAGTGCATGCGTGTGTGGGTGAGTCTCACTTTGGTGGGCTCGGATGATGCCATTGACGATTGGCCCAGGGAAGTTGAAGTCAGTCGGCTCCAACTATAGGAGTGACACTGATGTTACGCAGGTTTTGCATTGTATGAATGAAAAAATCAGGCATTCAATCTGCTTGGCAGTTGCTCTTCGGGTGGGGGACTTCTCGGGAGTAGCATTGACATGAGAGCATCTTGGAGCATTTCCGGGAAGGCAAAACGCAAAGAAGAAACGAAGTAGCACGTGTCAGAGTCACATAACGGACAGCTTGGCACAGTCCCCCCCCTTCTCTCTCTCTCACACACACACACA